GGTCCTTTCATCAGAAGACTCACGTTGCTGCGTTGAAATCAGGTCGTATTTACGTTTCCCTCGTACCGCCTGTCGGCCATCCTTATTACTGTCCATCATGACAGGGCTGTGTTGTTCGTCAAATTTAGGTTTTTTTTTCATAGGTTGTCATCGGCAGATCTCTGGGCGAGCTACTCGCGAGCATGGGAAAGTCTTCGTACACAGCAGAAACTTGACTGCAGGGTGGTGATCTTGCGTCGATGTTTTCTCTGGAACCGACGTCGCATTTCAGAGCTGACAGAAAGGGTTGAAGTCTCTCCCGCTGGTCTATGCATTGCTGAATAAATGCTTGATTCGCCATGCAGGTGCTTACCCATTCCTTGTTGGCGGTGCACGTCCGGAAGTAGTCAAAGTCAATTACGAGGCTGCGTTGTGGAGCTGCGGCCGGTATTGCAGCGTTGCCGCTGTTCATTTGAACTGCCTGCGCGAGAGCGGCGTTAGGCTTCGGCGTTCCGCTTCCATTGTTCATCTTCGGACCCTTGAAAATCCCCTTTCGAGGAGGTCCAAGGATTCCTTGGCTTGTCGGTTGGTTAGGCGAGGTCTCCGCGTCGGTCCTCGGTGTCCAGGGCGGCAACGAGGGGGTGCTGAGACCCCCTCGGATTGGGGCAATGGTTAAGCCTGAAGCGGGAGCTCAGGAACGTGCGTCTGGTCTCCTCGAGAGCTGAGGCCAGAATCCCATGTCAGTAGGAGAATATGTGGTTTTCTTTTTCTTTTTTTAAGAAGCCTAATGGGATGGCAACTCAAAACACCCTACTCTTTTTTTTTTCCTTCTTTTTCTTGATACTGATTTTGGTCATAGGTAGCGCTGGTGGTGCCGTTTTCATTCATGTCAGTAGAAGAATATGCGGTTTTCTTCTTTTTCTTTTTATAAGAAGCCAGATGGGATGGCAACTCAGAACCCCCTACTCTTTTTTTTTCTTCTTTTTCTTGATACTGATTTTGGTCATAGGTAGTGCTGGTGGTGCCGTTTTCATTCATGTCAGTAGAAGAATGTGTGGTTTTCGTATTTTTCTTTTTATAAGAAGCCAGATGGGATGGCAACTCAGAACACCCTACTCTTTTTTTCCCTTCTTTTTCTTGATACTGATTTTGGTCATAGGTAGCGCTGGTGGTGCCGTTTTCATTCATGTCAGTAGAATTCATTCATTTAATGATCAGGAAAAAACAGAGAAATTAACCGAAGGAGTCTCGGTTGGCTACTCTGCGTGGGGATTGGGAGTGGGATAACAGAGGACAGGGAAGAGGAAAAAATAAAGGTAGCAAAATACGGAGCGCATACAGTCTGGTGCAACAAATCAGTTATCACAGAATAGTGAAAATTTGTAAATATGTACACAATGAAAAAAAAAAGAAAAAAAAAAAGATCGCTTTTGTAATGCGACAGTGTTAGTTAAAAAGCCCATCTTCATGTATAACAGTCTGTATCATTCAACATTGTGTTCGGTTGAGTTCGACCGTGAGGTCTCCGGACACTTTAAAAGACCGTCACATAAGAGATGTCACAATGAAACGGATATTCAGATATTTCTACAGTAAAGAGAGATGGGGGTTCAGTGACTGCCGTTTCCACCTCATTAAGTATCTACTGCACACAGCGTCACTTCCCTGCCTTATCAAGAGCTAGAAGTTATTTGGGTAAGGAATTTAAATCAAAGACGGCTAATTAGGTCTGTTTTCTCTAAGTAAACCACTAAGGCGTCTATAGCGCTCTGTTGGCTTTTTCGATCGTTCCAAGGGCCAAGGATCTTGTTTAGACTGAATGGATCGCTACTTAATTTCTGAATAGTGTCGTGAAGTGCGCGTCTCTCTGTTAAACAACTCGCACTCACAGATGACGTGGTGGAGGTCTTCAGGGACGTTGCATTGTAGACATTTCGGACTTGAAATAAACCCGAATTTGTGCATCTGAATATTTCTGAAAGCAGAATTCAAGCGACATCTATGCAAACAAGTTTACACGTTTCGAGGTAATTTTTGAGGAATAGAGTTTTCTAGTCCCGGGTCGATTTGGTGGAGGTATGGGTAGCAGTTTTTGGTGGACGACCATTCACCCAGGAAAGTGTTTTTACCGAATGATGCCACATGTCTTGCAGCCTCTTGTCGAGTGAAAGGAATGTTTTCAGATGGAGCAAGGTTATGCGCATTTTCTGCTTCAGCGTCAGCCGACTCGTTCCCAGGAATTCCTGTGTGTCCGGGTACCCATTGAAAGTCAACTGTATGACCCTTGTTTGTTGCTGCGGCATAGTTGTAAAGTGTTTTCACAACCAGCGCTGGGTTTGATGATTTTAAAGGTGACCGTTGTAGCATTTGTAATGCCGCTCGTGAGTCGGTGAATATCGTCCACCTCGATCTCCTTGTAGACTTGGTAATGTAGCATAGGGCCATGTTCAGCGCGCAGAGTTCTGCTGCGGTAGAGGAGACAACTCGACAGTGTTTCAGTGCCTCCACAACACCTAGTCTGGGTATGACGAATGCAGATGATGAACTTTCCGAGCGCGTGGACCCTTCAGAGTAAACATGAGTACTGTTACGGTACTTGTCATGTAGAAGGTTTAGTACGTGTTGCAGTACGACTGGTTGAGCTTGAGCAGTCTTTTTTGTAAATCCAGGAATGTTAAAATTTACAGTCCAGCGGAGTGTACGAGGCGATTTTAACATCTCCGCTTTGACCCTCAGGCTAACATCGCCGGTCGTCTGCAACTGCACTACCATCGCAGCTGCAACGTCACCACGCAAGGACCGCTGACGGGCTGCGGATGTCGAAGATACGGAGCAACGCCCACCGACGCCGCGGCATATAAGCGACAGACAAGCGTGGAAGCAGCGCAGTCCAGCGGAGTGTACGAGGCGATTTTAACATCTCCGCTTTGACCCTCAGGTGGGTGCAGGTCTTAGTTTGACCTTTGACTGCATTCATCACTCCGCTGGTCTGCCTGCTGTTGTACATTGCTGTGGTGCATTGCAAATCATGTCTTCGCCTGAAGAGAGCATTGATTGCATCGCTTGTTTGAAACAACTAACACCTGACAGCCAAAAGCTAAAATGTGCAGAATGCAACCTTTTCTACCATGTTGGAAAATGTGCGGGAGTTAGCAAAACTAAATTCAAAGCTATGACTCCCTCTGATTTGTTGTCTTGGAGGTGTACAACATGTACTGTACACTTCCAGCGGCAATCGCTGCCAACTGACAGTCAGACAGGAGCACTTGCCCCCGAAACTGAAGAAGGCACTCAGTCTCAGAAAGACCTGATGACGCAGCTCTTAAAAACTAACCAAACACTAATGGAGGTCTTGAGTAGAATCGAGACTATTAAAAAAAACTAAATTTGCAGGCAACAAAGCATGACACAGTTATTCAGAAACTGGATAAGCAGGAAAAGACCATCGAAGCGATCGAGAAAACAACTGACATGCTGTCGAAGCAGTACGACGACTTGATAAAAAAAGTTGACTCACTCTCACATGTCACAAACGAGCTGAAAAAAAAAGACAAAAGAACTAGAAAAACTAGGTACAGAAAGGGACGCGCGAATTAAAGAGCTTGAATGGGCGGTTGAAAACGCTGAGCAATATTCGCGGCGGAAGAACATAGAAATTCACGGTATCGTCCAGTATAATCAAGAAGACCTGGCAGCGGTTCTCGGTAATCTAGCAGCAAGGCTGGACCTTCCTGTGCCTCAACCGGATAAGATTGAGTCTGTGCATAGATTGAAAGCGAGGGAAGGAAAAATCCCGCCAATCATCGTGCGGTTCAGGGACAGGTCGGAGAGAGATAGATGGGTCAATAAGCGTTCCGCATTAAAATCTGAACGCATTTTTATCAACGAGAACCTAACGAAGCTCCAGCGATGGTTGTTTTGGAACGCGAAAGAATGTGCAAAGGAAAAAGGCTATAAATATGTCTGGATGAGTAATGGAAAAATTCTAGGAAGGCGGAAAGACGGGGCGGCTGTGATACGTATCGAGGATGAGAGTGACTTGAACCACATCCGCTGAGATGACCTCGTGCAACTCATTTACAGATTGGGATAGGTACACCAACAATTTACTAGTTGAGGACGGAATAGAAGGCAGCCGGCAGATTCTCCATCTCATTCAAATCAATGTTAGAAGCCTTAAAAAACACTGGGGCGAACTAAATGTATACCTGAGGGATACACTCATAGATATAGATGTACTAATACTAACCGAAATAAATATCGAGGCGACAGAGCCTTTGTCTTTTAATTTTGATGAATTTCACGCATTTTCAGCACGCCGCCAAGGCAGAAAAGGAGGAGGAATTCTTGTATACGTAAAAAATACCTGGCTAACTGATCGTATTGAGCTGTCTTTGAAACACGCAGAAGTTCTTGTGATTACTATTCATAAAGCAGAACTGTCATTTACAATTTGTTCTGTGTATAGACCGCCCAGCAATAATTTAGAATTGTTTTATGAAGAATTCTCGAAATTACTAAATAGGTTTAATAACAATGATCAACTCGTATTAGCAGGTGACTTTAATATAGATACCATGTGCCATAAGAAAACGGGTGTTACGGAATAGCTCGACATATTGTCTAACTACGGTTTATATAATTTAATGCCTGGTGGCATCGCTACCACGATGAGCACTAACTCGCCGTTCGTCTTGTTCGTACAGATCCTGATCTTCAACGTTTCCTTCGCTGAGCCCGCGGTTGTGTCTGACTTTTGCCCGGCACGTGCGTGGTTTGCTACATCTGATTGCTCGTGGGATGACGGTGCGATCAACTCCCCTGGCCTGTCTTTCGGCGTTTTCGACTGGGCCACTATCTTCGGCCAGTTTACAAGTCAAGCGGCATCGACAGCAACGGACTCGCCTATAAACGAGGAAGCATTGACCGCGCCGGACTGTGGGCCTGGTGGCATCGCTACCACGATGAGCACTAACTCGCCGTTCGTCTTGTTCGTACAAGTGCGTAATTCCTGCTGCCTTTATACGAAAAAGAGTAGTAATAGGTGTTTGCTCTTGCTACCAGGCCCCCAGTGTTGTCTTGCCATTGTGTCTGAGTGTACTGCCGTGATACGGCAGTTGTTGCTCCTCTGTGGAGATGTAGAGGTAAATCCCGGCCCTGTCACCACAGAAGCTATGATGGCGTTGCTGACTAAACTTGACGCCGGCCAAACAACTGTACTCGACGAGCTGAAAGCAATCAAAAACAAACTTACACTCACTGACCAGACGGTCAACGCTCTGTCTGACAGAATGACGCGGATAGAGCAGGAGTTTTCGCATTTTAATTCAATTCGAAATGATCTTGACGAACTCCACGGTGTCACGGCGACCCTTACTAACAGTTTAGCGACCCTGGCTGAACGCGTAGATGACTCGGAAAATAGATCGCGGCGCTCGAATCTTCTTTTTTTTGGCCTCCCTGACTCTGATAGGGAAACGTGGGCACAGTCGGAACAGAAAATAATAAACCTTTGTTCTCAACATCTTGATATCAACATCATGCCAGACGGCATCGAGCGTGCCCACCGACTAGGTCGATATCGTCCCAATCAGAACCGCCCGATAATTGTAAAATTTGCTCTTCATAAAACCAAAGAACGAATTTTTTCTCAGGGTAAAAAGTTCAAGGACACTAGCTTCGCTGTAAGTGAAGATTTCTCTCCTTCGGTTCAGCTTGCTAGAAGGAATTTGTTAACTTTCGCGCGTAACCAAGCTATGCCCTTTTCCTTACGTTTCAAAACGCTCCTCATTGGACAAAAACGATACTATTTTGATGACGCGTCAAACACCGTAAAAGAGTGTCCTTCTTAACTAACCCGATCTTTTCGCCGCGGTCATGAACCCACTCCCCCAAAGCCACTGTCCTTTATTTACACAAATATAAGAAGTGTGATATCTAAACAAGACGAGATATGTAGCCTAATTGCATCTACCGATTGTGACATTATTGCGCTTACTGAAACATGGCTGTCATCATCGGTAACTGATACAGAAATTTTTACGGGCACTTCTGGGTTCAATATATTCCGCAAAGATAGGGAAAGTGGCCGGGGAGGGGGGGTCTTGATTGCGATAAAAGATAGTTTTGTGTGCAACCTAGTAAGCTTGTCTTCACCGTTGGAAATGCTATGGCTTTCTTGCACGGTTCAACACGCTTCGCTCCTTATCGGTGTATGTTACCGACCCCCTCACAGCGATCCATCTTTTCTAATTAACCTCAATGACGCTTTCAATGAATTGTACCTTAAATATCCCAAATCCAGTATTCTGCTTTTCGGTGACTTTAATTACCCCTCTATTGATTGGCCCGCCTTATCCGTTTCGGTCCCTCTTGATACGAGTGAAGCGACTGGTTTCGTTAACCTTTGCTTCAATTTCGATCTCTCGCAGCTTGTAACTAAACCCACACGATCAACCACCCACTCTTCGAACATCCTTGACCTCATCCTTGTTTCTGATCCTGACTCTCTAAAGTCGATAAACTACCTACACGAAATAAGTGACCATAAAGTGATTTACTGCACATTTTCTTTAAATATTCAGTCAAAATCGAAGCGGAAGAAAACCGTAAAACTATACGAGAAAGGGAATTATCAAGGAATGAATACTGAGCTAGGGAAATTCTTAGATGTCCTTTTAATAGACTTTGACAATCGGTCCGTCTGTGAAAATTGGACTATGTACAAATCTAAAATGCAACAACTAGCTGAAAGCTTTATCCCAACTGTGACATTTTTCGAAAGCGCTTCTGCTCCATGGTTTAATGTTACCCTGAAACGTTTAAGCACGAAAAAAAAGAGACTCTTTCGTAAAGCCAAAACCACGGAGCGCAGCTCGGACTGGGATAAGTTCTATAGTTCCGACAGACAATTCAGAAGCGCAATCAGAACACAAAAACGAGCGTTTTTTAATGTTGATCTCCCATGCATGCTGCAGAGCAACCCAAAAAAGTTTTGGAATGTCGTTAATCCTAAACCTGAAATAGTAATCAATCTTAAAAACGACGATGACTCTTTGGTTCCTGATGACGAATGTGCAGGAAAATTCAATGATGTTTTTTGTTCAGTGTTCACACAAGAGTGCAATGATATGTTTTCTATGGTTCCTCCTGCCTTTCCTACATCCATGGATGGGATCACGTTTGAACCGGCTGGCATTGTGAAAATCATCGACACCCTTAAGATTTCTTCATCAGCCGGTATTGACGAAATAAATGTAAAAGTGTTGAAAAATACTAAAGATATATCTAGCGTAATATTGGCAAAGCTTTTTGCACAGTCACTTTCTACTGGTTCCTTGCCATACGACTGGAAAGTTGGGAAGATCGTCCCAATCTACAAAAACGGAAACAAATGCTCCCCTTCTAACTACCGTCCCATCTCCCTAACAAGCGTGTCGTGTAAAATAATGGAACATATCATCTACTCCAAAATCATTCATCACTTGTTAGAAAACAACTATATCCATTCCGCCCAACACGGCTTCCGAAAAAACTTCTCCTGTGAAACTCAACTCGCGTCTTTCGTCCATGACCTGCATGTTAACCTCGACTCTAACATTCAAACTGACGCCATCTTTCTAGACTTTGCTAAAGCTTTTGATAAGGTCCCTCACAGACGTCTCATATACAAGCTTAATCAACTTAACTTAGACCCCGCGATTTTGAACTGGATCATTAGCTTTCTTACGCATAGACATCAATTCGTTACCGTTAACCAGTCATCATCCTCTATTGCCGAAGTCACCTCAGGCGTTCCTCAGGGATCGGTCCTTGGACCACTCCTATTTCTAATATACATTAACGACCTACCCGTATCAATCACGTCGCATATTCGCCTCTTCGCTGACGATTGCGTCATCTACCACCAAGTAACTAACCCTTCGGACCACCAACTCATTCAAGATGACCTCATACGAATTCAAGCGTGGTGCGAAGAATGGCAGATGTCTCTTAACGTCCAGAAATGCCAGCTCGTGTCATTTACACGTCGTGTAAGCCCCTCCGTGTTTTCCTACTCACTTAATAACGTACCTCTGCAGAAAAGCCTTTCCTATAAGTATCTCGGAGTCCACCTCTCATCTGATCTTTCCTGGGCTACTCATATCAGTCACGTTATCTCCACTGCTAATCGCTCACTAGGCTTCTTAAAACGTAACCTTAAGCTAGCCCCTCCTCACCTAAAGCTGCTTGCCTACTCATCCCTTGTCCGTCCTAAATTGGAGTACGCATCTGCCATCTGGGACCCGCATCAGGCCTATCTCATCAATAACCTCGAATCACTCCAGAATCGTGCAGTACGTTTTATCTACTCAGATTATTCTTCCTTTTCTAGCGTAACTAATCTTAAAATCCGTGCAAACCTCCCTGTCCTTTCTGTCCGTCGTAAACTTGCTAGGCTATCTCTTTTTCACAAATTTTACTACAGTCAGTGCCTCCGGTCATCATACATCATATCTTCAGAATACCGGCTTCGTCGTACGGGACATAACCTCGGCGTAAGACGCCCCAAAGCAAGAACCGTCACCTTCCAGAATTCATTTTTTTCACGCACTGCCATTGATTGGAACGATCTTCCCGAGAACGTCATCATCACTCATGACCCGATAGAATTTAAGAAACGCTTGCTAGACTCCCCACTTTAGGTTTGTACGAACCATCTATATGTGTACAGTTTGCCTTTCACATTTGTGTGTTTTTGCTCTTTGTACGCGAGTTGTTTTTGGCGTGTTTTCTACCCTTTTGTTTTACGCTCTGTACCCACCCCTTATGTAATACCCCCAAGGGGGTCCTTAAGGTATCTAAATAAATAAATAAATAAATAAATTAACGATTACACAAGGGAAGAGTACCTAGGGCATACAATTACCAGATCGTGCATTGATCATGTGATAGTAAGGTTGAGTAACTTAAAATTTCTAGGGGGAACTATTAAACAAAAGGTAGCAGATCATTATTTTGTTGCGCTTAGGATAATAAACGAAGAGCATACGACCGTGAAAGGGAAAAACGAACGTAAACAAATCATTGACAATAAGAAAGTAGATGACATTATTCAAAGATATAACTGGAATGCTTTGCTTCATCTGGATCACATCACTCTCTATGATGCGTTAGTTGAAACATTTAAAAATATATACAAACAGTCTACTAGAACAATAAAGCTAAAGCCGAGGAAACCTGGAAATAATTGGATCGATAAAGAAATACTTGAAATGAGTGTTGAAAAAAAACAAATTATGGAATAGGTGTAAGCAAAATCCGCATGACATAAAATTAAAAGAAGAATTCAGACGAGTACGAAACAACCTCACTGCGAAAATTAGACTTGCTAAAAAGAGATTTCATATGACGCAACTCCGGCAGTGCGGGAAGAACTTAAGAGAAACATGGAATATCGTAAATCAAATAATTGGCAGACCCCCTAAAGATAATATAGATGCATGTATACAAAAAACTTTCGGTGCAACTGACTTTGATAAGCTGAGCAATGAGTTTAATAACACCTTCATCACAAAGATACAAGACTTGCGTAACCAAGTAAACAGCATGGTAGGAACAGCTAAGCTATTAGGGAATTCAACTGTTTCGGCGTACTTGCCCCAAATGACAGAATCAGATCTAGAATACATAGTTAACAATATGTCTATAACAAAGCCAGCAGGATTTGATGAAATAAGATTTAGAGATATAAAACATAACATAGACTGTTTAAAACGCGTTCTGCTTGCTATAATAAATGGTATGTTGTCTACAGGAAATATACCCAGTAAGTTAAAAGTTTCAATAGTACGGCCAATTTATAAGAAAGGAAACAAGAAAGATATTGCTAATTACAGGCCCATCGCGTTGTTGCCGGCAATTTCTCAGATAATGGAAAAAATTGTTTTACAAGTCATGACTTCGTTTTGTGACAAATTCTCACTAATAAGCAACTGCCAGTATGGATTCCGGCAACAAAGAGGCACGATACTTCTACTGGAGGAGATAACAGACTTCATTAATGAACAAATTGATAATAACAAAATAGTACTTACGCTGTTTTTAGACCTGACAAAGGCCTTTGATACAATAGATCACTCACTTTTAATTGAGAAACTAGATAAAATTGGTTTCAGAGGGCATTTCCGTACATTTTTTAAAGGTCACTTCACTGAAAGAACCCAACGAGTTCGAATAGGAAATAGCACAAGTTCTACTGCGCACCTGAACTCTGGTGTGCCTCAGGGTTCGGTATTGGGTCCCATGCTGTTTAACATATATGTGAACGATCTATCTTTGCTTCCTTTGAAATCAAAAATGTATCAATACGCTGATGACACAGCCTTGGTTATTACACACGAAGATTATAATACTGCCGTTTCTATTTTACAGGATGACATCAAACAAATTGTGAGTTGGTTTTCAAAAAACTATATTTTTGTGAACAATGATAAATCGAACCTCGTGTGCTTTCGAACTCACCAGAAACGAATTAACCTTAATCAACCCATCTTTTTGCATTCATCGGAATGTAGACAATGTTCTTGCTTACCACTACCTTACGCCAGTGAAACTAGGTACCTTGGTATACACTTTGATGAGTATTTATCTTGGAATCATCATATTGACTACCTACTCAAACACCTGCGAATAATTTCTTCATACCTCTATAAACTCCGAAGTTCTGCAAGTATTAATCTAAGGCGATTGATTTATCAGATGTTAGGTGAATCAAAACTAAGATATGGTATCCACATATATGCACTTTCATCCAAATACAAACTACAGAAAATAAATAACCTAATTAAAAAAATGATACAAAACATGACGTATGGTACACACTTAGAAAGTCTTTCGTTTCAAGAACAGCT